TAGGCCGTAGGGCAGGGTGACCTCGAAATTAACTAAAGACCCATCCTCCCTTTTGCTTGTTCTGTCTAAATAACAAATGTAACTGCCTGCAACCCACAGCGACACCCGTGCTCTGTAACCATCTAAGGACAAATTAACCAATCAGCCCACGCCAACTGAGCCCTATAAAAGCAAAGTTGCCACTGAGCTCGGGGCCCAGATCTTCAGAGCGCTAGCTCTTCCGGAACTGCCCGCATAGTAAACCCGAGTTCTCTAACTCTCCGAGGGCTGCTTGGTTTCTCTTTCTCCCTGCTCTGAGTTTTGCAACATTTCTGCAGCACCGGGGGAAACAAACGCATTTACATAATTGCCATTCTTGAATGAGCGATGACTATCACGAGAGAAGCAGACAAAGGATACGGTGAGGTATCACAGAGGAAGGCGTGACTGACATTGTTAAGGAAATGACACTAATAACGTACTATCTGTATTATGTTCCACAGCATCATCCAATACCAGGGCTGGAAGGCACCAAAATGAGAGTTTAACACACACATCGCCCCCCACACCGCCTCCCACACCTAAATTTTCAAACGGAGTAGGGTTTGAATGAGATTACGTCTAGAATCCCTTTAAACTCCAAATTTAACCTTCTCATGAACAAAACGACATAGAGTGTCCGGTTGAGACCATGAGCTACTCATGAAGAGAGCTGAGCAGTAACGGGACAGCTAGCTGATCTGTGATCCCCTCAGACACCCAAGGGAGCCCGTCCTCCTCAGGCGCAGAATCCACGGAAGGCTCAGAGCCCTTCCATCCGCACGGCCTCACAAGGAAAGGATTTTAAGAGCCGGTGTGCTCGGTCTGGGGTTGCTTTCATAGAAAACATGTCATGTCCTCAGGATAGCACTTTCCAAAGGACTGGAGCGCCCCAGCCCATCGCCCAGAAGGAGGATGGAGTGAGGGGACATCGCCACCGTCAGGAGCGTTTGCAGGCACCACGTGCGGCTCCCATCGGCCGTCACCGCGTCTTCCCGAAACATGCAAACTGCCTGCATGCCTGGACATTCGTTTCTCGAAAGCAGAGGGTTCCTTCCTGCTCTAGAGCTGTGGACAGGTAGTGTCCATGAGGCCTGAGAACACCCGAAACCGCCTGCACACCGTTGTGCGTGCGACTTTCTGCTATAAGAGGGGCCGCAGCTCCTATCGGATTTTTGAGGACCGCGAGCCGCAGGAGACTAGGAATCTGTCCTTGCACGTGTGAATCTACTATTAATCCAAGTGCCCTGGGTGTGCACACGTCCCCACACCTGTGTCCTCACACTCCAGAAACCTCCAGCAGGCGGGACACTCGCTAACAAGCTTTCCTTTTTACTTCCACGATAAAAAAGAAAAAAAAAAAATTTTTTAACGAAATGTCATTCCCAGCACCAGCAAAGACAAAAAAAAAAAAAAAACTTCAAAAGCATTCAATTATCCATTGAGTCCCTGTGAAGTCTACCTTAAAACCCAGAGTCCCAGGGAATATCGGTGCTCTCGTTCAATTTTTAATAACTATAAAGGATAATGTTAGAGAAGAGAGCTTTTCAAAGGTAAGCGGGTGACAGATGACTCTTGAAACGGTTCTCATCCAAGGGCGTGAGGCTGCGAGACGTAACCGCAGGTAAGAGAGCGTCTTTTCAGACCAGAGTTAGGAGCTCGGGGCCTGGGGGTGTCTGGTGACGCGTCTAGCTGTACATAGACTCTTGGTGACCTCATCCACGCCCTGGGCTTCGATAACATTTACACGCCCCTGATGCACAAAGCTATCCCTGCAGTGCAGACCCTGCTCCCTAACTCCAAGCTGATTCATCCAGCTGCCTAGCCAGTACCTCCGCTTGGGTGTCTAACCACAGCCGGACCTCAGAGTCCGAAACTGAGTCCCTGATATCCCCACTAAAAGCTGCTCCAGCTGCAGCCTTCCCCACCTAGCTGGGGGAGACTCCATCTTCGCAAGCTGGTCAGCCCTGAAACCTCCTGGCCCTTTGGCTCCTCTCGTCCTCGCATACCCCTCACCCCGTCACCAGCGAATCCCACTCGTGCCACCTTCAATAGATACCAGAAAAGGAGGCCTCCTCAGCACCTCCACCCCGGTCTGAGCCGCCTCTGTGTCCACCCGGATTCCTGCAGCGGCGTCCTCCTAAGTCCAGTCTGAATTCAACCCAAATCAAATCGCGTGCTTCTCTGCGTCAGACCCTGGAGTGGCTCATTTCCCACGGTGGAGAAATGGAAAATTCCTACAGTGCATCTGCGTGCTGCCCGGGGCGAGGCTGACCGCCCTGCCCTCACCTTTCGCTGCCTCCCTCTGGCTTCCAGATGCCCCGCTAGGTGCTCCTGCCTCAGAGCCTTCGCACTGGCCTCTCCTGCTGCCCGGAACACACTGACTCAAATGCAAGGAGCTCTCAGCGAGACCCACCCCGGCCAAGCTATTTAAAACCGCAGCTCCTTTCAATAACAGTTTCTTCTCTGCTCTGCTCCTTTTCCTTCTTTCTAGTGCTCAACGCCCTCTAACACAATATACAGTTCACTTATTATTACCATGTTCATTGTCCACCCTCCCTGCGATGACTCTAGTTACAAGAGGCCCGGAATCTTGGTCCGTTTTTATGACGGGTATAACTCAAGTACCTAGACCACATTATAAAAACGTAATTCATAAAGGCAAGACCCTGAAAGAAATGTCCCTTCGAGCCTCTTGCTCCAGGCGAGACTGCTGTTCCCATTTACTGAGCGGGCGACCACCACCACGCGCTTCTCACGAAGACGGCTCAGTTGAGATTCCTATGAGCCTCTTGGTCCTCATTTCAAAAGATACATTTGCACGCACAATAAAAAGACGCTCAGCTGAACTTAGACTTGGAGACGGCAAAGATCCAGAAGAGGGTCTCTTGTCAGGGCCTAGCGTCTGTAGTCAGAGGGTCTCCCTGGAGTCAATAAACATTCAAGAGGGTGGACCCTAACTCTCCCTGACCTGTCAAAAGGAGTCAGGGACAATTCCGGTTGAGCATGCGGGAACACAGTAGGGTAGTGGCAGCCGGGTATGAGGACATGTCCATCAGAGCAAAGGTCATTCCTGGGTCCTCAAAGCCCATCGCTATGAAATCTGGATCTTTTTTTTTTTTGCTCTGTAGGGAGATAGAGAATCCCCAAGCAAGCCAGAATAGTTCTCTTGTTTCACTCAAAACCCACTGGTTAAACAAGGAGTCTCGAATGGCAGAAAGACAGCTACTATTAGGGCCCAAAAAGACAGCAAAACTAACATCTTCTCTAATGATTAGCTTTTAACAGGTAGAAGGGAGAAGTTTTCAAGAGCCCTCGGTCCTTCTATGAGCCTTTAAGATATTGGGGGTGTGGACTAGACGTTCTACCGGGGCAAATCCACTGTGGTCAGCTTTGTGTATTGGGGTCCCACATAAGACTGCATCTCAAGGCGTACTCGATGGCAAGCTCTAGAAAACCAACCAAAAGAATTTACTCATCACCCAAAGAAAAAGGCCTAAGAGGAAGTAAGAGAGAAACAGATGCTGAAGAAAAATATGGGCGAACCAGCCTGTACAATCAGATAACAGAAATGCCTGAGCTCAGGATAGAAATAATAGAAGAAAATGCTTCTCGTCTAGAGAAATATCGGAGCTTAAAAAGCGATTGGATACAGAGTGTTTTAGGCAGATTTAATATATTCCGGAATATGTAACCTTCTTTAAAGATGAACCAAAAAAGTCTTCATGGTGCGAGCAAAAAAATATTGAGTTACCCAGAGAGGAACTGACTCGGCTCGGCTGTGGCCTTTGCTTCCACAGTATGAAGCCAGAAGATAATGCAATGACCTCTGTAAGAGCTTCGAGGAGAAATATGTGCCCCTCGCCAGCCCTGCCCAGCCACGCCACTGCTCTGTAACAGGGTAATAGGTTGACATCATGAACTCTGCCAGGACTCAGGTAATCAATCACCTGCGGATGCTCCCTCAGCAACGTGATCACTCAAACTCTAGTTCCGGAACAATGAAAGATGGATCGAAACGTTTAAGAACTCAAGGCCGAGGAAGTCACGACTGGAAAGGAGGCCTACATGCTTATTAAAGCTAAAAGCAACTGCCATATTTCAAATGCTCTTACGGCACAAGCACTGTACTAAAATCTGTATACACACACACACACACACACACACACACACACACACACACACACACACACAGCACCTTATTTAATTGTCGAATCGTGTCGTTTATTTCATAAATAATATCCCTATTATCTCGGTAGTAGCATTACCCCCATTTCGTAGATGAGAAAAACTAAGTGAACCTCGAGTGACTTGTCAAGATAGACCAGTGACGGAGCAGTAGAGCCGACCTTCCAAAACGTGACCCAAGGACTTCCTCACGTTCCTCCGACCTGCCTTGTTTTATAAGACCTTTACTCTTTTTTATTCTTATCTGTGTTTTCTAGTTACAGTAAATGAAATAAGTTTTTTGAACTAGAACACCAATACATTCTTTCCCAACTAAAATAAATCCAAAGACATAAAACGAATGCCTCCAAAATGCTGAAAAGGAAAGAACAGGTAAGGGCATTCCAGAAAGACGTCCCGCATGAAGAAAGCAGGTGAGACGAAGATCGGTGTTAAACCACGTTAAATTCAGTATTCTATAGGGCGTCAAGCAGAGCCAGAGGTACCTCGTGTTTACAAGAGGCGTACTCCACGGCAATCCCGTAACACTTATGTAAAGAAAGGAACTCGTTGATGGAAATAGTAGTTGACATCATTGACGTAACTGGAACGGGAAGTTTTAACATATGATAACCGATCTAGAACAAGGAACCCCCAAAAAACCAAGTTGAGGAAGATTCGCGCTTCTTCCCCCGCTCCCCTCAAAAAAAGCGCACCGCGTGGCGATTGCCCATCCCCCTTTCCAGCCGGGCGGCTGAGCAGACGGTGGCTTTACCTTCAGGCGGGGGGCTGGACTGCTGGGGACAAGACCTCACCTGGAATGTTGTGTATGGTGATGGCCAAGATGAGCAGGGCGATTCTCCTCCAGCTGCTGCCCCCGGGCACTGCCAGACCCCCTAGAGACGGCAGCGGGGCGGCGGGGTTCTCTGGAAGGTCAGCGGCCGCCGCCTTCTTCCTCTGATACGCCTCGCCATTCTCGCTCCTGTCTGAGCAAAAAGAAAGGAATGAGAAGAGTCGTTTGAAAATGAGTGTGTTGGCATCCGGGCAAGCAGCAGCAGCAGGAAGCTTTCAGGAGGGGGATAGAATCTACTTCCGAGCTTCCCAATGGACCACGTGTCCATCCTTTCATCCTTCCTTCCTTCCTTCCTTCCTTCCTTCCCTTCCTTCCTTCCTTCCTTCCTTCCTTCCATTCATTCAGCAAACATTCACTGAATAAGACATTCAGTATCCAATGTACAGTTAGTAAAAAGGGTAAAAAAGATGAAAATGGGGTACATCAGCAATGCCTACTTAAGAGAAGCAATATTGAGTAGTGATCAGAAGCACAGATTCTGGAACCAGACTTCCTGCTCACTGGCGCCTCGTCCACTCATCAGCTGTGTGGTGTTAACCAAGCCGTGTAACCTCTCTGTGCCTTAGTTTCCTGATTCACAAAATGGGGTAACAGTGCCTATCCATGGGGGCTTTGTGAGGATTAACTGGGAGACTGAACGTGATTAGACTGTACTAAATGCTGTGTGTAGCCTGTGGCTGTGGTCACATGGCCCTCTCTCCCACAGCCCTACAAAACTACATCATAGGGGACCCAGCTCTCCTGGTCACACCAACTGATGGGGAATGGATTCTAATGCCAGGCCCAGCCGATCAGAGTCTCTATTCAGGGATGAGGGATGAGGGATTGGAATGGGGAAGGACCCGGTGAGTCGAGTCGGGGTTCTGGATCCAAAAGGTCACGCAATGTAAGAGCAGCCATGATGCACCATGCCAGATGGAACAAGGCAGCAGCCTGACAGACAGACAGACAGAAGCAGATACACACAGACAAGCAGAGATGGGAAATCATGCAGCCAGATGATGGACAGACGGATGGCAGCCTGGGTACCGTAGGACATTCTGACCCTCATGGGCTCACTACAGTACCCAGCCTTGAGTTTCACGAACCCTCCTTTTTTAAAGACTTGGGTATATATTGGAAGGATATCATTTCTTAGGACCAGATTGTCCCAAATACCCTGGTCTCCTGGGTCCTTTGTTTACTCCTAATGGAGGTAAAATGCATGGATCTGAAATCCAGGAGGACCAGGGTGAGGTGGAGCACCCGGACTGCGGTTGACAGCATGGATGGACCCGGGGGAGAGGCTCCCCAGAGGTGCAGAGTCCTGAACAAATCCTACAGTGGAAAGAAGGGTCTTCCATCGTGCGGGAGCATGAGAACATGCAGAGCATAACCAGATGTCACGGCCAGGTCACCAGAACACACTTTTAGGATCCCCGCCGCACGTCCCAGTTTTGGCTCGCCATCCCAGGAGGATTGTTAGTGCCCTTTCACACCCAGAAGTGTCCTGGTTTGGAGGATAACTTATGTGGCTTCCCAGGCTGGAGGAAACAGTAGAAGCTTGAGGGGTGCTTTGCTCCGTGACGGAACACCCCTCACTGATGTTAACGCTCATCGACTCGAAGGGGAGGAGGCAGCTCTCTGTCTTCCCACTTCCCCTCCCCATTTACGAATGTCCCACAGACGAAAGAGCTCTCTCCTTCAAGCTGAAACCGCCGAAGAACTTGCCCAAAGTCAAAGTAAAAAATAGCAGACAATTTTGGGGGTTCCTTCATCCCAGACCACAGGCGTCTGGCCGGCCTCTCCTCACTCTGGTTGTAACACAAGGCGAAGGCGGTTTCTCCCACCCTCTGGGACCAGAATCTCACTCGACAAAACTGACTGGATCTTTCTGATTCCCTTTTCGGATGAATCTGCCTAAGTGGGATACTGCTTTATATTTCAAACACAGAGGAGACAAAAACACTTCTTCTGAAAGCCATTCTGTGCACTCGACTCAAGCTTGAAGAGGAAGAAAGTGCCACAGGGCGGTGGACTCGCTCCTCCCCCGGTCCCAATCGGCGTTGACTCCAAACGGTTGACTCTGTTCCGCTGGGGCGAAGGGGCCGTTCACTGATGCCCCGAAACGCAGGCCTGCCAGGCCTTCCGCGGTCAGTAGCCACAACTCAGAATATGCCTCTGGAGAATAAAGCTGTCTCAGTCGCATAGCAACGCCCCAGACGGCACTCGCACAAAGCGAAACGAAGACGCTCACTGTGCGGTATCTGCTCCGTGCGTGTGTGCTCGTATGTGCGTGTGCGCTCGTGTGTGCGTGTGCGCTCGTGTGTGCGTGTGCGTGCACGCGTGTGCAAGCCCAGGACGCCACTGGGTGCCACCTTCCTCGCCTCAGACATCAGACAGCCTTTGTGTGCGCTCGCACGTGTGCGCATCTGTACACACACGGGGGAGGATGTTCTCGTACGTCTTCAGCTGACGGCCTTTCACGGCTCAGGCTGCGGAGGCCGGATGGGGAACTGAACTACGAACATCCGGGCTTTCGAGCCCGTAAACGCTGAAGACACGAGCAAAGAGGAGGGAACCAAGCTGAGCCACGGCGAGGGCACTCGGCTGTCCCTTGGGCCTCCTCTGAGCGCACAGGCCTGACCTAGACGCTCTCCAGCGGGAGTCGATAGGGGGGAAAAACATCAAAACTTTCCCCTTAAAAATTGTATAATTGAAAAGACGACAGCCAGGGAAGACGTGAATGCATTCCTGTGAATCTACAGGGCAGATTAGCACTGAAGGCTTCATGCGTTTCTGTCATTGTCACAAAAAGGATCAGACTCTGACTTTCCCGCAAACAATGCAGAGAGCAGCAGAGATGGTGGCACCGTTAGCAAATGCCAGCACCGTGCACAGGTTTGGGGGAATGTGGAGCAGCACAAAGGGTCCTGAATCACGGGAAAGATGCACGTCCCACCTGTGAGTGCCAGTATGTGAAGGCCGATGTGCCTTCCCCAGCGGGGAATGGGAGGGCGTGAAGAAGGCCCGACACACTCGTGAGAGTTAAACAAGCCACCGCTGATGAGTCTGCAACGAGGGAAATCAGTACGAACACATCGTGACAGCGAGCACGGTGGCATCCTGAGCAACGCGTCTTCTTGCCTCTCCTGGGGAGGCCGGTTAAACCATCGCACGCCATCGAGCCGCACGCCGGTGCCGTGAGCGGAAGATGACGGCCACGCAGAGGGCACTACCGGGCCAGGTGGGGGGCGTGGGGGCGCACCAGAGGGCCGAGAACCACGGCATTTTCGGAAGAGGGAAGGTTTGGGTGCCTCTGAAGTAGGACTGGCCACAGAGGAAGGACATCTAGGGATGGAACAGATGCTGTTGAGTTCAGACTAGCAAATGACATAAGTGAACC